AGGAGGAGGAAAACGAGGAGGACGAGGAGGAAACGGGGGAGGATATCCGGCACGTGTTGCTGCGGCGGCGCGAGCGCGGTTCTTGCAGTAGTTCTAAGCAGGTTTAACATTTTTTCGCGCGCCGTTGCGACATGGCGCTGGCAGCGCTGCATCTTTAGCGCACCGACAAAGGCAACACTCTTCGGTCTCCTCCCGTCAGTGTCGTCGTCGTCCCCTGCCCCCTGCCACCTTCCCCCTGCTGTTGCCGCGCTGACGGTTCGGCCCCCCGCGCGTTTTTCTCTTGCCCTTCGTTCCCGCCCCCATGTCCTCCTCAAGCCTGGGCCCTCGCTCCTCGTCCTTCTGCTGTTGTGTTGTGAACCGTGCCGCGCGAGCGCGTCCCGTGCAACTTGCACAACATGTATCGGCGCCTGTGCCGTCGTTGTATTTGCAAGTTTGGGCCAACTCCTTTTGACATTTGATGCACATTGGTTGTGCAAGTCACAGGGTAACGGGCACGAGTGGGGAAACGGGCGAGAAACCAGGTATACAGACGGAGGGCATGTGTCAAAACACCCGACGAGTGAATGTCGAGTAGTCTTCGGCACATCCCGCCACCATACCTGGGCTGCGGGTCTGAGGCCAGTGGGATGGCAGATGGGGTTTCGTGGGATGCGTATCGGGGGCGTCTTGGAGGCAGCTTTTGAATCTCTAAAGGCTATCCTGGGGGCCTCTTGGGGGTTTGTTGCGGCCATCTCGGGGTTCCCTGGGGCATCCCTTGGGGGCCTGGGATGGATGGGCTCTTTGAGGCAACCCAGAGGCGTCTTGGGGTGGATGACTCGACATGACCCTTCAGGTTTCTCTTTTGGGCCTCTTTTTGGGCTGTTTTTGGGCCCTCCTGGGCCGTCTTGGGGGCCTCTTGGCCCGTCCTGGGGCGAACTTGGAGGCTTCTTGGGCCTGGGCCGTCTGGGGCGCTGCGAACGCCCAAGGCGCGAATGTGCAAAAAATACACGTTTTCCAAAAGGAATGGGTTCCGGGGTCGTCAGGGTCCTGGCAGGGGTGCAGGGATAGTTAATGAGGGGTCCAGAAGCGGCGGAGGAGGAAAGGCGGAGGAGGCGGAGGAGGAAGGGGAAGACGAGGTGGAAAAATAAGCGGAGGAGGAGGAGGAGGAGGAGGAGGAGGAGGAGGAGGAGGAGGAGGAGGACAGGGGGAGGATATCCAAAACGTGCTGCCGCGGTGGCGCCAGCGCGGCTCTTGCATTAATTCGAAGCAGGTTAAATCATGGTTTCGCGCGCCGCAGCGACATGGCGCAGGCAGCGCTGCATCTATAGCGCACAACCGACAAAGGCAACGCTTTTCGGTCTCCTCCCGTCAGTGTCGTCGTCGTCCCTCGCCCCCTGCCACCTTCCCTCTGCCGCTGCCGCGCTGACGGTTCGGCCCCCCGCGCGTCCTTTTCCAATCCTTCGTTCCCGCCTCCATGTCCTCCTCAAGCCTGGGCCCTCGCTCCTCGTCCTCCTGCTGTTGTGTTGTGAACCGTGCCGCGCGAGCGCGTCCCATGTAACTTGCACAACATTTATCGGCGCCTGCACTGTCATTGTCCTGGCAAGAATGGGCCAACTCCTTTTGACATTTGATGCAAATTGGTTGGGCACGTCACAAGGTAACGGGCACGAGTGGGGAAACGGGCGAGAAACCATGTATACAGACGGATGGCATTTGTCAAAACATCCGACGAATGAATATCGAATGGTCTTCGGCACATCCCGCCACCATACCCGGGTTGCGGGTCTGAGGCCAGTGGGACGGCAGATGGGGTTTCGTGGGATGCGTATCGGGGGCGTCTTGGGGGCAGTTTTTGAATCTCTTGGGGCCATCCTGGGGGCCTCTTAGGGGCTTGTTGCGGCCATCTTGGGGCTCCCTGGGGCATCCCCTGGGGACCTGGGATGGATGGGTTTTTTTGGGCAACCTGGAGGCGTCTTGGGGCGAATGACTCGCAATGACAATTCAGGTTCCCCTTCTGGGCCCCCTTTTGGGGCTGTTTTGGGGCCCTCTTGGGCCGTATTGCGGGTTTCTTGGGCTGTTTCGGGGCCCTCTGGGTCGTCTTGGAGCCCTCTTGGGGGCCTCTTGGCCCGTCTTGGGGCGAGTTTGGAGGCTTCTTGGGCCCTCTGGGACGCTGCGAACGCCTCAGGGGCGAATGTGGAAAACACTAACGTTTCCCATAAGGAATGGGACGATTTGTGTTTCTGGAGGCCCTGTTGGGACGCCTCGTGGTGGTTTCTTGGGGCGTCGTGGGGGCCTCAGGGGCCGTGTGGAAGCCAGCATGGGCGTTGTGGATCAATATGTCCGCGATTCGTGGCCCTCTTTAGACCGGCCGAAGGGCGTCTTGGGTGCCTCCGGGAGGCCTTTTGGGACCTTGGGGGTCTCTTGGGAGCCTTTTGGGAGCGTCTTGGAGGCCTTTTCGGGGGCCTTTTCGGGCCTCCTGGGCACCTCTTGGGGCCGTCTTGGGGCACCCTTGGGAGCCTCGGGCGCCATCTTGGGGCCATTTTGGAGGAGATCGATCACAGGAGGGGCCGTACTAAGTTAGCCCCCCCAGGAAGCCAAAATTTGGCAGGCCCGCGGCCAACATCGCCGGCGGGTGGCGGCGGCCGCCGGCGACGGCCGCAGAGACGGCAGCTGCGGCCATCTGTGCCCAAAGGCGGCGGCGGGGGCGGAGGAAAGCCTTATCCCCTCCTCTTCCTCCTCCTCCTCCTCCTCCTCCTCCTCCTCCTCCTCCTCCTCCTCCTCCTCCTCCTCCCTCCTCCTCCTCCTCCTCCTCCTCCTCCTCCTCCTCCTCCTCCTCCTCCTCCTCCTCCTCCTCCTCCTCCTCCCCTCCCCCTCCTCCTCCTCCTCAATTGTTCTGGCTTCCTCGCTGACCGAGGCCATATTGGACGCGTCGACCCCTCGCGACCCCCCCTCCCCAGACCCTCGCCCGCAAGCCGTCTCGCTCACCCCCACCCGCCCTCCCAACACAAGGAACACCCGAGGGACTCTCAGCATATTTCTCAGGAGCGCCACGCATGCCATGTGCGCCACGGGTTCCAGGTGCACCAGGCACCCTGGGGGCCCAAGCGAGCCAGGCGCGCCATGTGCGGCACGTGCTCCACGTTCCGGCACCCCCGCCGTCCCTGTCAAACACAGTTGCAAAGAAGTCGCGAACCGCCCGCGCATGCTTCAGGTGTGATGGCAAAGTGCATTCTGTTGGGTTTTTTTGACACGGATGGTTGGCCTGTGCGCAGCGAGTAATCTGACGGCACCCTCGTTGTCCCCATCAAAAGCCCATGCGAAGTGGTCGCGGGGCACCCGCGCACGCTCCAGATGTGGAGGCAACGTTCATTCTGCGGTGTTTTTGTTGACAGGGATGGTTGGCTTGCGCGCAGCGAGCAACATGACGGCACTCGGTGTCCGTGTCAAACACCAAAGCGAAATGGTCGCGGGGTGCCCGCGCATGCTCCAGATTTGGAGGCAGAGTGCATTTTGTATTGTTTTTAAAACAGGGATGGTGTGGGGGGGAGGGGCATGTCTCGGGTTGGCCCACAGCTGGGTGGGGGATGGGGTGCATATCTTGTTGGAAGTGAGCTGTGCTCAACCAGTCCGGCTGTGCCCGGCTGTGCCTTGGGGCCCAGTAGGGAGCAGGACAGCTGGAGACGCGAGCCTCTTGGATTCTCAGCTCTGCTAGGCACGGACGGGCCGCCTCGTTCTTCGCCTGTGCTGGACGCCCCGAAGCTTTGGTTATCTTTGTTGCACCCCCTCACCCTCCCGCGGACGACGACGACGACGACGACGGCGACGACGACGACGGCGACGACGGCGAACCTGGCGGGGCGCACCGAGCGCGAGGCGCGCGGAGCGGGTGGGAAAGAGAGCGGCCGCAGAGGAGGATGGAGTCGGGCGGGGCCAGGACGAGGATAAATCCGTTCCAGAGCGTTCCGGAACGCTCTGAGAAGGCTGCGGTGCCCGAGGCATCCTCCAGAGCCGCCCGATCTCAGAGATTCTTGATGTATCTCCATTTGATTTTATCCTCATCCTGGCTTCGTCTTAAAAGAGGCCTCATTCCTGACGCTTCGGGCGGAGAGTCGCCTTGCAGCCTGCCTATGAAAGAGGAGGCCCGACCGCCGGGAGTCGACCCCCTCGGACGCACGCTCTTCAGCAGCGGCCCTATCCCTTCCCTCCCCTGGACAGGTGAGGTCAGCGCACAGCGTCTGGGCCCTGGGGGGGTCGCGCTGGGCAGCCAGGGACTTTGACGCGCACTGTCTGAAGAGGCCCCGTCGTGCGAGCCAACGCTCGGCGGCGCGCCCGGAGGGGAAGTGAGGAGGGGAAGGTCTTTTTCAGAAGGCGGCGGTGCTTCTGAGAAGTGCTATGGCCCTCCTGAGAAGATGTTGTCTGTGGGTTTTCGGGGTCGGTCCACGAAGCTTTTCGGAAAGCCCGAGGCCTGCCGAGCCTTCTGAGAAGGTCTGCTCCTTCTCACTTCCCCCGGGCGCGCCGCCGAAACGCACATGAGTACTTCTGGTAAGCATTACACGAATCTCCATGGTGGCGAGCCGGCATGGAGCCTGAATGCACCAATGCGGCATGTCTGTTCGATTTGCAAGACAGATTCAAGAACACGTGCCGATTCGACGATGGTGATGACGACGACGGTAGTGATGCTAGTGATGGTAATGAATGCCCAAGGTTGTTCCAGAGGCTTACGCCATTCCGCCGACCCCCACACGAAGTTAATAGGAACACATAGAAAGTGCTAGGGCGAGTCATGGTCCTCACCGTTGTACCCACATGTGCATCAATTTTAGGCTGATATATGTTTGGCAAGGGGGGGAGAGCCAGTCAACTCGCGCGAGTCTGCAGTCCCGGGAAGCTGACGTCGGCAGATTCATACAAGGATGCAAACGCTCTGGTCTCCCATGGAAAGCCCACCTCCGCAGTGGTAATGCCCAACTATACGACAACGACGATGGTGTCGTCATCCTCCTCCCCCAACCCCGCAGGCCAGGCTGCGCATCCCGACGTCCCTGCGAACGACGCGGCTTCGCCGCATGATTACCAGGCCTTTGGGCAGAGGGCCTCCTCCTCCTCCTCCTCCTTCTCGAGAAGACGATGAAGACGAGGAGGAGGAGGGTGGAATGTTAAGGAAGAAGCAGCAAGATAAACGCAAACATTCGGAGCTCCGCGCGGATCTCTCGTATCAGCGCCTTGGCCCCACTGGCGGCGCCTCCGGCGCTGCCCTTGGAGCCCTCTTCGTCGTCCCTGAGCTTGGCTCCTGGGGAAGAAGATTCTGGGCAGGCTGCATCCTTGTCGCCATGGCTGGATTCGGGGATTCGTCGCTACTGGCTGCATTGTTTTCCGCCCGAGTCCGAGGCGGGGTATCAAGTGTCGGCACTCGCTCCCGAGGGGGTAGTTGTGTTGTGCCTTCCCTGGCGGCCCGAGGGCCTGGCAAGGGGGGCGCCGTGTCGCAGGCTCCCGTGTGGGCCCGAAGGATCCCCTGAGGGCCCAAGCACACCTCGTGGTGCTCGGAGTTGGCGTCTGCGGACCGACGACGGTGCCCCAGGAGGGCGCTTGGCGAACGATGCTTCGTCTGCGGGCCGAGGGCTATTGGCTGGCGTCGCCAGGGCTCTGCCCGAGGGCAAACCCACGCAGGGCTCTGTCCGAGGACACCCCATTCCCAGGGTCCCTGCCCGAGGGCAAACCCACGCAGGGCTCTGTCCGAGGACACCCCTTCCCAGGGTCCCTGCCCGAGGGCAAACCCACGCAGGGCTCTGTCCGAGGACACCCCTTCCCAGGGTCCCTGCCCGAGGGCAAACCCACGCAGGGCTCTGTCCGAGGACACCCCTTCCCAGGGTCCCTGCCCGAGGGCAAACCCACGCAGGGCTCTGTCCGAGGACACCCCTTCCCAGGGTCCCTGCCCGAGGCCAAACCCACGCAGGGCTCTGTCCGAGGGCAGCCCCACAAACAGGGGCGGAGTACTCTGGAGTACTCCTGGTTGCTGGGCCGCTGGTCGGCCAGCATTCGCCCCCCTGCCCCATAGGGCAGCTTGGGCTTGGCGGCGCGCCGCCTTGACCGCACCGAGGCCCTCGAGGTCCTCGTTGCGTGCGGGTCCCCGTAATTCACACCATCATTGATTCTCTTTCCTCGCTCCCCCCGCTCTAATTGGAAAATCGAAAAGTGATGGGTGTGAGGGGCGTGTTGGCTCGCGGGGCCTGCGCGGACCATGTCCTATGCGTGACGGGGGCGGCTTCGTGCGAGGCCCTGGACGGTTGGGTGGCCCGCTGGACGGGCACGCTCATCTGCGACGATAACTGCGCTTCCCTGTCGGTGGTCGTCTGTTTTCCGTCGGTCCGCCCTTGTCACGCTGGCGGGCGACAGAGCTCTAGCTCTAATGGAGTGGCGGTGCGCCTGTGCGCACGCGTTTCTCAGTCTGTACGCCCGTGCCCCTATGACGCCGTCTGCAGGCCTGGGTGGTGCATCCAGGTCGCAGACGGGGATAGGGGGCGGAAGGGTCTTCTGTACTTTCCCGAGACAGCACCTCGCCTTCAGCGCCGCGTCACGTTCGCTCGTTTGCGTGGGTGCGCCTTCTGCTACGGCGGGCTCGTGCAATCGTGCTCGATCCGGCAAGCTCTCTGGAATGCCTGTTCCGTGCGTCCGCTGGCCCGCCAGCGCCCTGGGGTGTTGCATGTTCGTCTTCTTTCCACTAATGGAGAGGCGGTGCGCGCAGCTGGTGCCAAGGGCGCCGCTTCCTGTGCGCAAAGAGCCCCGGATTAATCCAGGGGGGCGTGGATCAATCCAGCGGGTTCCGTTTCCACGTGTCTTGTTCTGCGACGGTAGCCGCGCTTCCTAAGAGGGCATTCGCAAAATGAATGACCTTTGCAAAGAGGCTGCTGGGAGCACCCTATCATCCTTTCACGAGCAGTTCGGTGGTTCCGTGCCTTTTGGGCCATCGCCAATCGTGGTCCCGTTGCCTTTTGGGCTCGAGGACTCTGCCGCGCGGCCTGTTCTTCTGCGACTGCAGCCCAGGCTTTCACAGTTCTCTCGCGGCCACACCCGCTCTCACGACGGATGGCGTTCACCGGCTCCGAGGTCCGCGCCGCGCTCGCCGGGCTTCCCGAGTCTGCGTTCGGGGTCGACTCGCTCGAGAAGCGTGCGGCCTGGGTCGACTACGTGATGTCCGTGGACGAGGAGCCGAAGAACAAACACGATTTGTTCTTCTACGCCAGCACGGCCCGCGTGCTCGCCGACGTGGCGGGGTCGGTGGAGCCGGCAGACATCTGCGACGCCCATATGCGCCAATTCATCATTTCGGGGATGGCGGTTAACACGAAACCCTTCCCCGACGAGAGCGAGGGCGTTCAGTGGAAGGCCTTCGTGGTCAAGCCGGCTCACGTCAACATGGCGTTAAGGGTCCAATCAAAGGCCCAGCAGTCATCGGCCGCGAGCGCGCCGGGCCCGAGTAGCCAGGCAGACCAGACGGCGCAGGCCATCGCCAAGTGGGCGGAGGTCCAGAACGCAAAGGCCGAGAAGGAGGCCAAGCGCGGCACCGTGAGCTTCAACCTGGAGGCCAGGGTGACGGAGGTTGGGTTGCAGTGCATCCAGAAACTGTCGCCGGAGTTGCTCCCTACCGAGGAGTCTCTGCTGCGAATGGAGAACCTTGCCTCCGCCAGGGTCGCAAGAGACAAGAACCGCAAGTGGGTCGGGTCCTCCGAGGGCGAGGATCTGATCGTCAACTTCCGGCCCGGCTTCTCCAAGACACCCAAGCTGGACTTGCTCCTCGGGTCTGGCTCACTGGACGACAAAGCGCGGGATGCCCGGGAGGCAAAGCGCGCCCGCACTGCAGAGGAGCGCACTGGCTTCCTGGGCTTCGCCAACTTCATGGGCCACCTGCACGACTGGGGCCTCAAGATGGTGCTGTCCAAGGTGATCACCCCGGTGCAGTTCTGGGCCTACGAGCTCCAGCTGGTCAAAATGTCAGAGGAGCAGGGTGGCGGCCGCGTCGTGTTCTATTACGACATGCTCCTGCGGCAGAAGCTCGCCCACGCGCTGGAGCTTGGCCAGAACGACCAGATCGAGGCGCTCCTCTGCAAGCTCGACAGGGATGCGTTGCAGGACGCCAAGCACCAGGTGTCGAAGCGCGCCGAGGAGGCCAGCCGGGTGACCGGGAAGCAGCCCGCCGCTGCTGGCGGCAACGCCGGGGCGCCCAAGGGTGACCAGAAGGGCGGCAAAGGCGGCGGCGCCAAGACCTCGCCGGCCCCGGCGTCGCCCGTGCTGCGCGCTCCAGGAGCCCGGCGGCGAGCAGGAAGCCGAAAGGCAAGGGCGCCGGGGGCAAGGGGCCCGAGCAGAAGTGGGAGCAGAATTGGGGCAAGAAGCAGGCCTGGAAGCAGCCCGAGCAGAAGTGGTCGAACTGGTGAGACGGCCCGGAGAGCGACCCGAGCGACGCGTCCTCCGACGCGGAGGGGTTCTCAGAGAGCCCTGCTGGTGCCCCCGGCGCCGCCTGCGGTTTCGCTGCGCTCCGCGATGCAGTGGACACGTGTTTACAGGACCCTTCCGGTTCCGGGTGCGAGGGCCCCCTGAGCCATTTAGACTGGGCGCTGCGCCTCCCGAGGTGCACCGGGGTGTTGGAGACCCCCGAGGCGTACAGGTCAGCGATTAATTGGCATTGCGCCGACCCTAGTGCAGTTTTGTCGTTCAGGACCCGCCAGCTGGCATTCTGGCGGCACCGCCAGCGCGTGACGGCTCCAGCGTGGCTGGCTCAATACGCGGGCCTGCCCGCCCACGTGCGGTCCATCCTGGGGCCGGAGAAGAATCTGGTGCTGCTTGCCGAAATGCTCGAGGCGGCCGGCTCGCCGGACCTCGCGCTACCGACAGATCTGGCGTACGGTTTCCCCCTCGTCGGGGAGATACCACGCAGCGGCGTTATGCGCCCGCGCGCTGGGCTGCCCGGTGAGTCCCCCGAGCAGCTTCTCCAGGGCGCGCCGGAGCAGAACGAACGCATTCTTGAGAGAGTCAGAGCAGCAAGGCCATCGGATGTTAACGTGGCCGAGGCCTTGCGCGAGCGCGCGCGCGTTGAAGTGGGGGCCGGCCAGGCTGGCTGGCGCCCGCTGCCGCCCGACCTCGCCGGCGTCGTGCTCTCGCCGCGCTTCGCTGCCGACGAGGGTTGGCGGGTCGTGGACGGCCGGTGGCCCCTGAAAGTACGGGCCATCGATGACCTCACAGCCTCTGGGGTCAATTCCACGGCCGCGGCGCTGGAGTGCATTGAGCACGAGACGCTCGATGTCCTGGCAGCAACCGTCCAGGCGTTAGTCGCTGGCGGGACCGGCGTGGAGCACATCCGGTTCCGGAAGGACGACGTGTGCAGTGCGTATAAGACGTTGCCATTGCGCGAAGACCACATGCCGTTTGCAGCCGCCGTAACGGCTGACTCGGTTGAGCGGGGGTCTTTCCTGCAGCTGCTCTGCTGCCCGTTTGGGGCGAAAGCGAGTGTCCACGCGTGGCAGCGCGTGGGCATTGCCTTCCAGTGCATTCTTCTGAATCTGTTCAGCATAGTGTATCCGCGTTTCGTGGACGACTTTTTTGGAGCAGATGCAGACAGTGCTATGGCCGGCAACGATACTGCAGCCACCAGCGCGTCCGTCGCCCGCTCTGTGATCCAGGAGCTGCTCGGGTGGCGGCTTGACACTCAAAAGGAGGTCACCGCCGCTCGCGGTTTCACTGCACTCGGCGTGGGCGTGTCCCTCGACGCAGGGGCGCGGTCTCTGCATTTTGTCGTGCCGGCCGAAAAATGCACCATGTGGTTGGCAGAGATTTCAGACATCCTGGCCAGCCGGAGGCTCTCCCCAGCAGGCGCGCAGAAACTAGCCGGGCGGCTCAGCTGGGGAGCCACGGAAGTTTTTGGCAAGGGGGCGCGCGTGTACCTCGCCCCACTGTTCCGGCACGCGTATGGCAGCAGCAGCCGGATGCCGATGCGTCTGGTCAGGGCGCTTGAATGGTGGCAACGGTTTCTGGCAACGAATCCTCGTAGGAGTTTGCCTCTGGAGCCATCAAGCAAACCGCGCTTGG